TCGGATTCAATGCGAACTTGCTGCCAAATGGGGTGTTGAGCAAATAATTGATCAGCTGTTTCGAAGGAAGTGTAATGAAAGACATTTGGATTGCCCTTCAATAGATTCCTTATGGCAGGTCGTTGCTTGTTCATGCGAGCCTCTTTTTCCTCCGCCTCTTTGTTCTTCAGGGTGTCTACGTACTATTGCGAGCGTCAGTCCTCATCAACTCGTCACTTGCTTCCTTCTCACCTTCTGCCATGACTCTTTACGTTCCGCCATGGTATTGAACGACTTATACAATGGATCTGTGATAATAGCACGCATAGTGTTTTCCCAACTGGAATCCGGACCAATGCTGTTCTTCTTGAGGAGGTACCAGAACGCCTTTTCTGCTTCTTCATGTGTTGAAAAGCCGTTGGTTGGTACAACAGGTTCGTCAGGGTTCGTCGGACGAGCCGGGATTTGAGGAGGTTGAAAGGGGGTTTGCGCGGGCTGCGTTACGGGCCCTGGCATTCCAGGCCGTACCATCGCTCCAGTGAGTGGATTGAGAGCTCCCGGTTGAGGGACATTATTGGTGGGTAGGGCCATAGGATTTACCACTGGGGCGGGAGTGCCTTGTGGTGCCACTGGGATGGGTGGTAGACGATTCCTGAGGAGTTATTGAGACCATCAATCTTCAAACAAAGAGTTAAGAAGGCCGTACGTGGGAGCTGCGATAGGGCCGCTCTCCTTTTCCACCTTTTCCAGGATCAATAAGAGCTCCTCCGGCATGTCCCATTTAGATTGTTTCGTTGCAGTCTAAAACCTGTTAAGATTTGTCTAAGGTGGATTGGTATGCGTACATTATAGTAGTATTTTCGGCCTTCCTGAAAGTATTCCCGCCAAGTTGTTTGACCCAATGCCCTCTATGGAATTGTTATTGGCTAGTCTTCGAAATAGGAGTCTCCTTTACCTCAAAAGGAGTTTTCAATACTGTGTATATAATCAATAGAGGGTACTAGCATGAAGGGGGTACTATACCATCGGGCTTTTCCCATACACTCTCCTTCGTCGTCGCCTAAAACGGGTTAGTACACTGAAATTTCCATATGAACCATGCAGGGGCTGACATTATACCAATATGTCCTGCCTTCAGCATTTCGGTGCTCGGTCTGGAAATCATCTCAATGAAAGGTTCTCCCATTCTTATCTGAGCTCACCCATGGTGCAGGAGATGCCTGTGATATGAGAATATATTAGCTAGTGGAAGCAGTTTTGAGCGTCTCATACCATTTGGCCACCGGCAAGTTGTGGAAGGAATTCAAGCTTGTTGACAGCTCGCAACTTGATGCCGGACATTTTCACCTCTTCTTTGACCGGGCATCAGTCGGACTTAAACCATTATGGATCATGCGTTTCCAGTACCGGAACATCTCCCTCGAGCCAGGACACAACAACCAGACATTTCGACCCAAATACTCACTGCGTTGGGTGAATCGTCAAGTATGACGATTCAGTCTACTGATAAATGGGCTGATGAGATAGACCAAGCCATCCTTCAAATTAAAGTGCGTCATACTCTTCACACGAACTGAACATAGCTGAGCTCACAAGTCCTGTTGCAGAAATCTGTCCATGACCGATTACACCAAGAGTCTACAGCTTTTGACAAACAAATGAGGGAATCGAAAAGCGTTCAAGTTCGCTTAGGAAGTCTAGTGTCCAAAGCGGATAGTCTATCGTCAGACCTGACCGACCCAGAGGTTGGTGGATAAATCTAACCCTTTCATTTACCATTAACGACGGTTTCGATAGAAAGGGACCCTTCCTAATATACTTAAGATCTTACGACATCACTCAAATTTGGCCCAGCGTTCATTGGATGCGGAGGTCATCAAGAAATCCTTAGAAGCTTTGAGCGACAGCAGGAGATCGCACCAGAACCTGGATAACTTGGTTAAGGCTGGTAATCTTCCAGCAGCAGTTCTCAAATGTCGCGAGCTGCAGGATCGTATCATGTTCCTTCCCTCTCCTTT